TTATTATTATTATTATTATTATTATTATTATTGCGACATGGCAAATGCATGATGTGTTTACTCGATGAAATGTTGCGTGACAGCTTGGGGGGCGGGGGGGGATCTATGTGGCGGGGTGGAAGGGACATTCTGCCGGTCACCGACGGTAAGCGGAAGTTTCGCACTAACAAAGAAATCGTGTTCTTGGTAAGTACTTTTCCATCTTCACTTGCACATAGCGGAAGCTGGCAGTAAGTACTTTTCCATCTTCACTTGCACATAGCGGAAGCTGGGAGTAAGTACTGAAACTGTAGCCTGTGCTTACATCTTGAGTAGTTCCATCAATTTTGGTGGACCCTTTTATTTTCATATACTGTATATATATATATTTCTTTTAGATTGGAGTTAATTATTTTCGGACGAGGTAAATTGAATCGTGTTCTCATTGTTCGTGTTAATTAACAAATTCATTTCGAGAATCAATACACAGCAGTGGTATGAAAGCAGATGCGATATGCATATAAAACTAAATCCATTTTCACTTTTTTTTCTGAATTAGTTTTTTTATTTAACAACGCCAGCAGTAATTCAGACTACAACGTGTAGTGAATATTGGCAAATAATGAATTAGGGTCGTGCCATGGCTCAGGTTGTTAGTCGCTGTGTTCCCATTGTGGCGGCCTGGATTCGTGCCCGGGCCTGGTCATGTGGGATTTGTGGTGGACAAAGTGACACTGCGCTGGTTTTCTCCAAGTACTTCGGTTTCCCCTACCAATCTTCATTCCACCAATTGCTCCACAATCCAGGACCAGTAGTGGCCGCAGTTCCAAGTGGACTCAGTCTCACCCTGCTAGGGATAGTAAAACAAATACGTGTACTTAATTTGAAAGGATTCTGAAGGAAGCGCTCGTTATATAATCGTGGTGGTATGGCTCAGTTTTCCTGGAAGAACTGAGGAAAATCACAAGGAAGCACAGAAAGGATACTTGGTGAGACCTTAACATTTTGGGCAGACTTGCTCGTCTCCTGTTTAGTTTCCTCAATTTGCGCTGTCCCATTCAATAACATGTGTTCAACTCAGGCTGATAACAATTCTCGGAAATTGCAATTGCATTGCGTTTGCCAGTTTCCTTGTTGTGGCCTCGCCCTGAATGACGTTTGCGGCCCTCACATCGGTCAATGTTAATACGTGTACTTAATTTGAAAGGATTCTGAAGGAAGCGCTCGTTATATAATCGTGGTGGTATGGCTCAGTTTTCCTGGAAGAACTGAGGAAAATCACAAGGAAGCACAGAAAGGATACTTGGTGAGACCTTAACATTTTGGGCAGACTTGCTCGTCTCCTGTTTAGTTTCCTCAATTTGCGCTGTCCCATTCAATAACATGTGTTCAACTCAGGCTGATAACAATTCTCGGAAATTGCAATTGCATTGCGTTTGCCAGTTTCCTTGTTGTGGCCTCGCCCTGAATGACGTTTGCGGCCCTCACATCGGTCAATGTTAATACGTGTACTTAATTTGAAAGGATTCTGAAGGAAGCGCTCGTTATATAATCGTGGTGGTATGGCTCAGTTTTCCTGGAAGAACTGAGGAAAATCACAAGGAAGCACAGAAAGGATACTTGGTGAGACCTTAACATTTTGGGCAGACTTGCTCGTCTCCTGTTTAGTTTCCTCAATTTGCGCTGTCCCATTCAATAACATGTGTTCAACTCAGGCTGATAACAATTCTCGGAAATTGCAATTGCATTGCGTTTGCCAGTTTCCTTGTTGTGGCCTCGCCCTGAATGACGTTTGCGGCCCTCACATCGGTCAATGTTAAAGTCACGGTCTCCTTGAAAGTGTGACGTCATGTACTTCGGTAGACGGGTTCCCAGCGTTCAACAAGAAATTGCTCTCTTTATGTTCTGAGCAGAGAGTTCAGTTTGTTTCATAACCGCCTTATCAGACTATAAAGGGGCCCATACACGTACGAGTCTGGCTCGCGGGTCCGGCTCGGCGAGCTTGACTCGGGAGCCGGGCTCGGATTAATTACACCACAAACGCATGAGCTGACTTCCAACTTTGCGACCCACACACGGACGAGTTTCGGTCATTGGGGCCCGAGCCGAGTCAGACTCGCGAGCCAGACTCGTACGTGTATGGGCCCCTTAAGCCGCGACACTATTTTTTTAACAATCCGTTGCAAGGTTTCGAGTAATATCAGCACATGTTGTATTGTGTTCCTGGAGGTTACAGCGCTACCACGAGAGATTTCTCTGACATGTATCGTCCCTAGTAGCATGTATATCCGTTACTAACTAATGACTCTTAAACAACGCCCGTTGCTAGGCAACAGATTCCTATCATGCAACAGTGGATACGTCAAAAGGAACGGTGTTTTCTGTACGGTTCGTGCTTAGATGTTATAAGCAGGACAGTTAGTGGATCAAGGTTAGTTGAGATGAGTACACTGGTAAAAAAGGTAAAGCTATCCTTGTAACAGGCTTTGGAGTTGTGGGACATCGAGGCTGTCACATTTTCTAGAAGTCCGATTAATAAGATATTTGTGTGTCCTTCAGGGTACCTGGGAGCGATGTTGAAACGTCATTAGTCAGATGCGGCGACCAATTTAGGGTTAATTCACACATAGCGAGCTGTGCACCGACTGTGTCATTTTGAATGGAATTGCTAAACGGCAGTCTGCATTTGAAACGCACTGCATAGGTTTATGTAATTCAGACATGCTGGACTGGGCGACGACTGTGCCCCGACTGTGTCGTCTCCGACCGTTTCAAAAGCGATTCATCAAGGTCACGGCTCGACACAGCTGGCGCACAGCCCTGTATGTGTGAATAACGAAAGGGCGCCCACTGGTCGCCCGGCGCTATTCGGCAGATTTCGTTACAGCACATCTTTGTGCCGAAGCGGAGCGAAGCATTTGGTCAGTTCAGTGCGAGAGAGCTTCCTGGCTGTAATGTCCACCCATGTGACGTAAGGACGGCATGCTTGGCGTACGATTTTGGCTTTCATGTTCAGATTCGCCTTCTGTAACAGACCCTTCATCCCTCAAGTAATTATGTAAGACACATGCAGCCTTAATAATTGTGTCTGCATTTTCAGGTTTGACATGCATTCTTCCGAAAAATATTCTGAATTTCTGAGTCATAATGCCAAATGCATTTTCGACTACACGACGTGCTCTAGAGAGCCTGTAATTGTATATTTGTTTTCCTTCATCGTAACGTGCTGCGCTTCCTGGGTATGGCCGTAGTAAATTTCGTTTTAAAGGGAATGGTTCGTCTCCAACAATAACGAAAGGATAAGTTTCTGTGGAATTCGGTACAGGTCTTGGCTCTGGAATGTTCAAGCGGCTCTCTTCTAAACGTTTCCCAAAAACTGAATTTGAAAAAATTCCACCATCACTTGACTTGCCATACCCTCCAAAACTTGTAGTTCGCATCTACGAGTGCCAAAAGGACAACTGAAAAGGTTTTTTTATAGTTAAAGTAGAGGGATCGGCTATTTTTAGGAGCTTGTATTTCAAAGTGCTTCCCGTCAATTTCGCCTATGCAGTTGGGGAACTGCCGCATTGAATAAAAGTCATCCGCTATTTTTCGCCACATTTCTCCAGTTGGTTCTGGCATTTCTTTCTTGGCCATTGTTTCCCATATAGCTTTACAAGTTGGAAATATAATAGAATTTACAGTTGAAGGAGCCAGTCTATAGCTAAAACTCAGAGAAATTTGCGAGTCTCCTGAACCCAAGTATTTCATTGTTAAAGCTAACCTTTCTTCCAATGAAACAGATTGCCTCCATTTAGAATTCTGTTTTGTCAATTCTGGTCCCAGTATTTTTAACAGATTTTCAAATTTTCGTACGCTCATACGAAAATACGTGAAGAATTTATCCTGATCATCCTTAAGGCGAGAATATATCGTATGAAATTCTCCTTCTTCGTCTCTTGCTCTCCATAACTGATGAACCCAATATTTTCTTTTCTTTCTGTTCTTTTCTTCTTGCAACACAAGGTATGCTCCGCATGCAGCAATCACATCTTCTTCGTTCTGATCCATCTCTACGAATGCAAAATAAAAACCAGCTACAGCACAGTCGGCGACCAGTCCACTATGTGTGAATGGTAGCAGGAGAGCACAGTCTGCGCACGGCCGGTGCACGGTCGGTGCACAGCACGCTATGTGTGAATCCGGCCTTACGCGACCTGTAAATTACAGGGGTTTGCACTCCCTTCATGCAGCAGTTTGGGTCTGTGAAACCATAAAAATGGCAACGTTGTCTATGTGATTAATTCCGATTTTCAGTTATAGTGACGAATAATACATACATTTTAAACGATAAATTGACTTTTCACGTATATCGTAAATCGCCAATCAAATTCTGCTAATGGAATTTTCAATGCACCCTATAAAATTTCCCTGATTTTGTTTTAAATTCATTGCAGGAGAGTTTCACTAATTTGTAGGGTAATCTTGTTTTTCGACTTCTCTGACGGATATACAGTCTGGTTTACTCAGAGCCATAAATGGGCTTTTAAAAACCGGCCTCAACAGCTCATAATAAACTGCAAAGAACGCCGTTAGTAATTTTCTTTCCAGCCCCGCTGTGGCCCTGGGGTCGACTCAGCCTCTAACAGAAATGACCACCAGGAATCTTCCTGGGGGTCAAGGGCGGTCGACATGAAAGGCTGACAGTCTCACTCCCATCTGTGAGTCGATTGTCTAGAAAATGTGGGAGCCTCGACGTCTCACAACCCTATGAGTCTTCACGGCCTGTTACAGGGATAGATTTTCTTAACCTCACCACCATCTGTGAGTCGATTGTCTAGAAAATGTGGGAGCCTCGACGTCTCACAACCCTATGAGTCTTCACGGCCTGTTACAGGGATAGCTTTACTTAACCTCACCACCATCTGTGAGTCGATTGTCTAGAAAATGTGGGAGCCTCAATGTATCACAACTCTATGAGTCTTCACGGCCTGTTACAGGGATAGCTTTACTTAACCTCACCACCATCTGTGAGTCGATTGTCTAGAAAATGTGGGAGCCTCGACGTCTCACAACCCTATGGGCCTCCACGGCCTGATATAGGGATAGCTTTACTTAACCTCATTGCCAGATGTTAGCCGATTGTCTAGAAAATGTGGGTGTCTCGACGTTTCACAATCCTATGGGCCTCCAGAACCGATTACAAGGATAACTTTACTTTTTTTTTCTCTCTTTTACAACTTTAGAGTAGAAATTTTCCAATTCTGTTACGTATTCCAAATATGAAAACAGTGTTTGTTCTTAAAATTGTGATTATATCATATCAAGAGTTACTGCCAGAGGTCGGTACAGTCACAACTTCGAAACTAAAGAGTTCTGCTGACGAACACAGCGGTGCGTCCACTGATCAAAAGTGCGAGAATGAGTTCCATGTTCAAACTGTAAATGAGATGTTTGACTTCGGAGAGGAAATACGCAAGAGTCGTTGTTCGATTCCCTGCAGGTGAAAGAGATTTTCCTCTTCTCCACAACGTCCAGACCTGCTCTGGGGCCCATTGCTTGTTAATAAACCAAACTTGGTAGCTAACACTTCGTTCAGACAACATTATCATCATTTAATTTAAAACAAGATGGCTTTCCATTGCATCCACGCACATTGCTCCTTGTCCTGCAGTCTAGGGCCGTAGTCTGACTTGTAGTTGTTTCGTTACATATCAACATAGGTATAAACTGACTAAAGCCCAGTGGTTAATGCATGCACCACCGGCTTTAACATTACAGAACTGTGCATCTGCCCACACTGTGTATTTGTGTGTTCCGTATGGTTCTCACAATAAACAGCTATTGTTTCCCTAAACAGCATTAACCGGTTGGACTTTGTAGCGGAGACGTAATGTGTTTCCTGTGAGGTACGAACTGAACTTTGCATTCTGCCCACACAGTGTATTTATGTGTTCCGTATGGTTCTCACAATAAACAGCGATTGTTTCCCTAAACAGCATTAACCGGTTGGGCTTTGTAGGGGAGACGTAATGTGTTTCCTGTGAGGTACGAACTGAACTTTGCATTCTGCCCACACAGTGTATTTATGTGTTCCGTATGGTTCTCACAATAAACAGCGATTGTTTCCCTAAACAGCATTAACCGGTTGGGCTTTGTAGGGGAGACGTAATGTGTTTCCTGTGAGGTACGAACTGAATTTATATATATATATTAATTGCCGGTCACGGTACCCGAGCGGTCTAAGGCAGCCGTATCAAATATGCGGGCCCCATAGCCACAAAGTGCGGCCCCTCAACTTTTAGAGCTAATTGATATTAAAATCAATATTGAAATTTTAGTAGAAATATATTTTGTAAAGACAATTTTCCAACAGACCAGACGACAAGAAGTCTCACGCAGACATAAATTAGCAGGCTGCAGGAAATTCAATGTTTTGCTCTTTCTAACACAATTTCTTGTGTAATCTCTCTTTTTACATATTGAAAAGCTTTTTGATACTTGTCAAAAATGGCATTCTCTTGCTTTTTAAAACTGTAAGATATATGACTTTAGGTAAGTGTATTGAAATTATTCATAAATAATAAATAATAAATAGAATTAAATTTCCTTGTATCAAAATCGAATGTATATTTCTATTTTGAAGTGCGGCCCTGGACTATTATTTATAGGGCTGAGGTGGCCCTCTGTACAAGTTGAGTTTGACATGCCTGGTCTAAGGCATGCACTATTGTCGCTCGCTCGGAAGCCGGGATCGTGGGTTCGAATCCCACTCAGGGCATGGATATTTGTGTGCGTTTTTCTGTGTTTGTGTACAGGTAGAGGCCTTGCGACGAGCTGATCACCCGCCCAAGGAGTCCTGCTGTATGTCTAAGATCTAGTAAAACCGAAGTGAACGGAGAGTTTCATGGAGGTAGGCCTAGGCCCAAATGAGGGCTGTAGCGCCAATGAAAAAAAAATATATATATTAATTAGAAGAAATAAGTTTTAATGGACTTTCCCTGAGCACTGTTCAGACTATTCAGTATTGTTCACGTCGCGGATAACAACGAAACTCTAAAATGTCGGCGTAGTACGTCCTCCTCACCCCTGCTCCATTTCTAATGCCTCGAAGGAATAATAAAATGTTCTGAGAATTGGGGACTGCCTTGCCCATCAACTACCACTGCAACCTGATGTGTGTAACATTACAGCTGTGCTGTAGCTCAGCGGTTAGTTGCTGACTTCCATCCATCATGTGGGATTTGTGGTGGACAAAGTGGAGCTGGGGCAGGTTTTCTCCGAATACTTCGGTTTCCCCCGCCAATATTCGTACCACCAATTGTCCCACAATCACCATCATATATCATCCGGGGCTGATACAATAGGCCAGTAGTGGCCACAGTGCCAAGTGAACTCTGTCTTACCCCACTAAGTAACATTACGGCGAATAAAGTGTTAAATGCAAGGCTTGGTAAAATCATCATCATCATCAGTAATCTGTCAAGACGACAGGTCCACAGTCTCTTCCAAAACAATTCCTCCACTTAATGCGATATAAAGCTTTCTCCTTCAAATGACAGTATCCTCTTCTGTCCACAAGGTCATCCAGCATCTTCTTACGTCTTCTTCCTCGTCTTCTTGTCACTTCTATCCGCCCATCTATCTTTCCTTCGATAACTTCTTTTAGAAGGCAATTTCTGCGTAAAACATGACCAATCCAATTAGCCTTCCGTTTTCTTATTTCATGTAGGATATTCCTCTGCTCACTGACTCTAATTAACACTTCTTCATTTCTCACATAATCGGTCCAACTGATCTTCTCCATTCTTCTCCAACACCACATTTCGAAACTTTCCAGATGTTTCTGATCTACTGCCCTAAGTGTCCATGTTTCAGCCCCATACAGAGCTATGCTCCAAATGTAGCATTTCACTAGTTTCTTCCTCAAATTTAAGTCCAATTTGCTGGTAAAAAGATTCTTCTTCTTGCTAAATGCGGCTTTTGCCATGGCAATCCTGGATTTAATTTCACTAGTACACCTTCCATCATCTGTTAACAAGCTACCCAAATATTTAAAACATTTCACATTCTCCAGTTGTTTTTGTTCTATCTTTATTGTGACTGGGGTTGGTTTTGGTAAAATATGAAAAATAAATGATTTCCTGACTGTTACAGAAAATGGCGATGCTGGGTAACTCTCTGCTGGAGGGCACCGTTCTGTTCGTGTCCAGTTTCCTATTATTCGCCTGGTTGTATTTCTGGTACAAGTTTAGTTACTGGCAAAGGCGAGGTGTGCCACATTCAAAGCCAACCATGATATTTGGCAGCTACAAGGACTGCGTCTTGCAGAAGGAATGTGTTGGACAATTCATGCAGAGGATGTACAATGAAGGCGTTGGTAAACGTTTCTTCGGCTGCTACGTTTTCACCAGGTACTTTCTTCTTTCTTCCTATGACTATGATGACTATTAACAATACGAAATTCTCTCAGTAGGTACACTATATAGCAAGGAATGGTAGGATAATCAATGAATGATTATAATGGGAAAAAATTTCGAAGGAAGTAATCATGACCTACTCGATGTATTATCACAAAACAGTCAGTCAGGATTCGAGCCAAGCACCTCTCAAATAGTAGTACAGACTACAACATAAGCGCAACTTAAAACTGTTCCATTTGCACTGGCTAAAACCGGGAATTCTCGTAGCCCTTTAATGCCCAGTGGTTACCATAAGTACCATGTGCTGTAACATTCAGAGTCTCTTCATTTTCCCCACAGTGTATTTATGTGTTCCGTATGGTTCTCACAATAAACAGCGGCTGTTTCCCTAAACAGCATTAACCGGTTGGGCTTTGTAGCGGATACGTAATGTGTTTCCTGTGAGGTACGGACTGAACTCTGCATTCTGCCCACACAGTGTATTTATGTGTTCCGTATGGTTCTCACAGTAAACAGCGACTGTTTTCATAAACAGCATTAACCGGTTGGGCTTTGTAGCGGAGACGTAATGCGTTTCCTGTGAGGTACGGACTGAACTCTGCATTCTGCCCACACAGTGTATTTATGTGTTCCGTATGGTTCTCACAGTAAACAGCAATAACCGTTTGGACTTTATAGCGGAGATAGTACGTTTTTCCTCAGAGGTATGGACTGAATTTTCAGATGTAATTCAGATGAATCTGAGGGCCTAACGTTAGTGTTCTAAACGCTGAGCTGCTGGCTAGAAGTGTCTGCATCTTCTCCCTCAGTCATGCTACAAGCCCTGCTCATATCACCCTCTGTAATGTGATCATTCTAATTATACTTAATGAAGTGTAAAAGTTATGAAGCTCCTCATTATGCAGGTTTCTCCAACTTCCTATTACTTCATCTCTTTTCATTCTAAATATTCTCCTCAACACCCTGCTCTGAAACACCCTCAGTCTATGTTTCTCCCTTATGGTCAGAGACCAAGTTTCACACCGATACGGAACCACAGACGAAATTATGGATTTGAATATTTTACGTAGGTCGTACCGAAAGTCATGAGCAACTTTTTTTTGCATGCAACCTGGGAACAGCAGACGAAAGAGGGTATGGTGATAGGTGGAACCAGCTGTTGTGTTAACCTTGAGAGTCTTTTGACATCAATATCTTGCATCACGTGACCAGTATCACTCCTGACAAAATGGCCGACAACGATATGTCTTTTCGCCAGCGTGCTGTCATCGAATTTCTTCTGAAAGACGAGCTGCAGAAATTCACCAGAGACCTCAGCGTGCTTATGGAATTGTGTGCATAGGTGCGAGCAGTGTTCGAAGATGGGTGAAACATTTTAAAGATGGGAACACCAGCATCGAAGATGAGCCTCGGAGCGGTCATCCTCGAACAGCCTCAACTGAACGCAACAAGGAAAGAGTGGATGAGATCATTCAAGATGACAGGCGTGCGACTGTGGACACAATAGCCCGAAAACTTGGAATAGGGCACAGTGCAGTACAGGAGATGATTGAGAGCTTGGGCTATAGGAAAGTTTGTGCTCGTTGGGTCCCGCGGTATTGACCGAAGACCATAAAGGTCAGCGAAAAGCCATCTCCTCAGAACTGCTGCAGAGATATCGACACGAAGGCGATGATTGTATTGTGACAGGTGACGAAAGCTGGTTTCACCATTTCGAGCCTGAAACGGAACGGCAGATTATGGAATGGCACCACTTGCATTCTCCATCAAAAAAGAAGGCAAAGACAGTGCCATCAGCTGCGAAGGTGATGGGCACAGTCATCTGGGATGCAGGAGGGTTTATTCTGGGTGAATTCCTGGAACCTGGGCAAACCAACAATGCTGCTCGTTATGTCCAGACGCTGCACAAGCTCCATCGTGCATTGCGCGATAAACGTCCGGGACGAAACATCATCATCCTGCATGACAACGCTCGCCCCCACGCCGCTCGCCTCACATTGGAAGCAATTGCAAAGATGGGGTGGGAAGTTCTTCCACACCCCTCCTATAGCCCTGATCTGGCACCCTCCGACTACCATCTTTTTGGATTTGTGAAGGATCAGCTGCGTGGGCAACGTTTTGAGACAAGGGAGGCAATTCAGAAAGCAGTGTGTTAGTGTTTTCGGATGGCTGGAACGGAATTCTACAGAAGGGGAATTTTCAAACTCCGAGAACCCTGGGAGAATTGTGTAAAAAGGGGTGGTGATTATGTGGAAAAATAAAGAAAGGTCTGTAGATTGAGGTGATGTATTTGGTTTGTCAATAATGAAGCATGTTACTTTACAAAAAATTGTTGCTCTTGACTTTCAGTACTACCCTCGTAATTTTTAGTTTTCAGACAGCAGAAAAAAGGCAAAAGATTCTGGGCCGGATTGTAACACTCATTAGTCAAGATTAATCTGTTCTTAATATCCTCAGGAATAATATTGTCACGTGTAGTGTGGTACGCGTGACTATTTTTTTTATTGCTAGTGGGGTGGGACTAAGTCCCTTGTACTGCGGCAACGTCTGGCCTATTGTACCAGCCCCAGATGATAGGTGGGGGTGATTGTGGAGCAATTGGTGGAATGAAGATTGGCGGAGGAAACCGAAGTACTCGGAGAAAACCTGCCCCAGCGCCACTTTGTCCACCACAAATCCCACTTGACCAGACCCAGGATCGAACCCTGGCCGCCGCGGTGGGAAGCCAGCGACTAACCGCTTGAGTTATGGCGCGGCCGTACGCGTGACTATGTTAACAGGTTCTAGTTCTGATGATTGGATTTATTGTCACTACAGTTACAAGTTATCTTAATCACACTTAATATAGCACTATCTCTGATTTACACACTTTACAGTTTACTGTTTCACGCACGCTAGGATTCTCAGTTTCCACTAGTCGTCTCCTAGCAACGAAGCTCAACACAGGCACTATCACTTCAAATCACTATGAAGTCTTCTTGTCCTCAATCACTTTGTATTTCTCTGTCCTGATCGGTGCTCAACTTGACTTCACGATTCACTAAGGACATGCTCCATTCTCGTCCTTAGAATCTCAAGTACTCCTAGCTTCTGAATTCACTTCTCCTATAGGTGCCCTGCACAGTCTGCATTGTTGATGATGTCACCGCCTTGCATAGTACGGTCTGGAAATGTGTTTACCGAGCCATTGCCTGGAAACGGATTGCATAAACCCGTTGTTATATTGTTGCGTGCGTGTATTATGTAGCAACGGCTGTTTCTGTGGCTCAGCAGTTCTTGTATGGAGTAAATATGCCACAGAATTTTGATTTGTTACTGTCATTCCCAAATACCTGAACTCTGCAACATTTTCAGAAGGTCTGTTGACTACATATATGTTATGATTTTGCCCCACAAATTGAATATTAAGTACATACATTATTTTAAAAAATGTTGTCTTCACTGAGATTTATTGATTCATTTACAGTTTCATTCCGTTCTTTAAACTGAATTTATGTTGAAAATTTAAGAAGGAAAAAGGAACTTTACACTTCCTTGAACGAATTTTGCACTGCTTTCCACCAAAGCCTATGATTACAGCATAATTCAATGTTTAAAAATCGATATGATCACAATAACAACACAACACAGATTTGTTCTGAGTATTATAGACACAAATCAGTTACCAACTACAGAAAAGTGCATGCATTACTTGTACAGTCTATCCTCGATTTAATGGGCTGATTCGGGGAAGATGGTTCCAGATATCGCGTAATGTCCCTCATGGGCGCAACTTCTGGCCATTTACTCCTAGCTGCATCTGGCTAACCATGGCTACCGGTCACTATCACAGGCTAGCACTCACTCCCGACTCAGAACTCAGTAGTCAAAATGAAAGTTGTAAGATTTGAGGTTTTCACGGCGGTGACTATGAAGAAAGCAGTCTTCTGGGATTTGGCACCGTGTATATGTGGTGTTAACCGACCTTTCGGAGGAACGTATCGCCTCAGTCTTCAGGGTAGAAGGAAAAACATAAGAAATCCGCAAGCGAAGAGATTCTCTGCGACTACTGTGGCCATCTGAAATTGAGAATAATTGTTGTAAGGTGCTTGTATTACTCACAGATGGAGCTTCCTATATGTTGAAAGCAGCAATAGCCTTACAAGTATTTTATCCAAATCTTATACACGTAACCTGTTTAGCGCACGGATTACGCCGTATTGAAGAAAAAATACGCGCATAGTATCTAACTGTTAACGATTTAATTGCAAGTGGGAAAAGTGTCTCTGAAAGCACCAGCTAGTGTCCAGTTCTAGAAAGATTGCTTACCTCAGGTTCCTGTGCCACCTGAAGCTGTCCAAAGTAGGTGGGGAACATGGCTATCCGCAGTTTCATTTTATCAGGAGAATTTCAATCAAGTAAAAGAAGTGGTTACAAAACTTGAAGATGAGTATGCATGTGTCCGTGAAGCAGAAATGGTGTTTGGAAGTGATACTGTTTATCAAGATGTGAATTTTATCCATGCACATTTTTCTACAGTTGCAAAAGCCATTGAGAGCTTAGAATCTTGTGGTGCACTCCTTCACGACTCACTTGAACTCGTTCACTGAATTCTGCTCCAGGCGAAATTGGAGAGAAGATTAAATGCAAGTTATAAATGGTGTTGAATTCGAACCCAGGACTAAAAAAGATTCAGTCAGGTAGTACTTGAGTGGAATTAGGGTATCTTTGCCAGATGAATGTGCCGAACCTTCGGCGCCAGTGTATAAATACTGTCCAATCAGTCAGTTGATGTAGAAAGAGCGTTCTCAGCCTATAAACTCATTTTGACGGACAATAGACGTAGTTTGTCTCCAGAAAACATTTAAAGACTTCTAGTTGCCTATTGTGATGCTACTTTCTACAGTGAATGATACATGTAAATAGGTGAGTCTGAATAAAGTGACCTGTTTCGTAAGTGCATATTTTCCCGCTTTTTAGCGCATAAAGATCCGGGCCCTAGTCATAACCTTGACCACCGCCAAGTTTAAGCCTCGTATATTTTCTATGTACGACCTCACCATGTCCTATACCGTGAACATGTTCAGTCTCATGATTTGTTATGGCTTATGCTTGTTGCTTGAACAGTTCTGTTAATTGTATACATACGGAAGGTTGAAAGCTCTGTGGAAATCATGGACCAATTTACACCTTGGGACATTTCCAATGGTGTGTAGAACCTTGTTTTACAGGCACTGCAATATTAATTCCCATGCGGGACAAGCGTAAGTCTTCACTAACTAACACACTACTAGATTTGGTCCTCGGTATATGACCTTGGCATGGATCCAACAGAGAACATGCTTCCAACAGTTCCTCTGTCACTGCATGTGTATCTGTTGGGTGGTCACATGATTTGATTACTGTGGAAACTTATTTACAGAGACATTGCCTAGCAACGGACATCTTCCGTGGTACTGAGATTGTGGCTTTAAGCAGATGTGTCACAATATATTAAAGTGTATGAATATTTTTTCTGAACACAGGCTAGTCAATACTGCTCAGGGCATTCTTGAAATTTGCATAGTTCTGGCATTTCTCGCCAATTTTTCTCTCATTTTTGCACCTACTGAACCAGATTCATGTTCTGTTGCTTTCAGGCCTGCCTTGGTGTTACGTGACCCAGAATTGATGAAGGAAATTCTAGTGAAAGAATTCAATACGTTTTTCAATCGCAATGCTCAGTCGAATCATCAGAAAGACCCTCTGTCGCAAAACCTGTTCCTAATAAAGGGAGAACTATGGAGGCATTTGCGACTGAAGATGTCGCCAATCTTCACATCATTCCGTCTGAAGCAAATGTTTCCGCTTATAAACACCTGTGGGAAGCAACTGTGCCAGTACGTAGAGAGGTCGGACAAACAAATTGAAATGAAGGAAGTTGCCGGCAAATATGCAACTGACGTCATAACAACTTGTGCATTTGGTATAGAGAGCAACAGCCTTTTGAATCCCAATGCCGAGTTCCGTGAATTTGGAAGGAAGATTTTTGATTTTTCTGTTTATAGGAGTTTTGAGTTTATGTCAGCCTTTATGCTCCCACTTGTCGCTAAGCTTATGGGCATCACTTTCTTCTCAAGAGAAACAACGAAATTCATGAGGAAAACATTTTGGGAGACCATACAAGAGAGGGAAGAGAAGAAAATTGAAAGGCATGACTTCCTGGAGCTGTTAATTAAGCTGAAGAATGGTAAAGACATTACCAATGAAAAGTCTATGAAAAATGGGCTCAGCACTGAAACTTTGAATGGGACGACTGACGTCAGTAATGGAATTATGAAGGACAGTAAACCTATCCGTAAGTGCAGTAGCTATACTACCAACATAACCTGATTGTGGAGTTCAACAAATAAACTTCTGTATGCAGGACTTGAGGTTCTAATACTGGTGGCTATGAAGAGTTCTGTATTCTGGGATATAATGCCGTGTAGTCCGTAGTCCGAAATGGAGGAACATGTTACTTCCATCTTACGATGAAGATGGAGGTAACATGTTCCTCTGAAATGTCCACTGACTATCAACTGTCTACACTGCATTGTAATTCTGAAGATAAAATTCTTCCAGCTTCTCTGTCAGTGCAGGCTCAATACAGCAGATCTTCAGTAGCTCCTGCTACAATGGCAGTCTAATCACTTGAGCTGTTGTAAGCATGACTGCCGCCAAGTTTAAGCCTCTTGTATTTCCTGCATCTGGGCTCGCCTTGTCCGATATTTTGATCATTTGCATTTTTGTCGTTTTATATGACTTTTGCTTGTTGCCTGCATAATTTTGTTATAGAATCATGTATGTGTGGAAGCTTAAAAGCTGTGTGCAAATCGTGAATCGGCGTATGCCTTGGAAAATTTCCAGTGGTGCATAGAACCTTCTTCTGTTAGTACAGGAGCCAGTCGTAGAAGAAGCGGTATCATATATATGGAAGGTAGATCTGAATGGACTTGTAGAGAAACCAATGGGAAGGCAGCTCTTTTGTCATTGGGGAGAAGTGTAGGAAGGGGAAGGTGAGAGTGAGGCTGAGTATGAAGGTGGCATGCACCATGGAAACATTGGCACCCAGCCACACCGTGTCACCACGACCAATGCAAGACTAAATGTCTCCACCTCACTCCTCTACAAACAGCTCAGTTTTCTGATGACTTCATCACACTATAACATAACCCGCCATTGTTATTGTAATTTTCAGAGCAGGAGTCAGAGGAACAAAGTGAAATATGGCGTCATCCTCTCACAACAATTGGGATGTCACTGCTAGCTTGGGACTGCAGAATTAGACAACAGTGTAGTTCACAATTATATTTACCTTGTTGAATGACATGTTTGCATGTCTGTCAATTATTGAACACAATATGAATTAAACAGCATTGGAAATTAATTTCCATTTAACAAAATACACACAAAATACAAAACAATGAAGTTGCAAAATGTTCCGCCTCACCCGGCTGTGCCACTGAGAGTCATACCCCAAAGGACCATAATCCTAATATTCACTGTGTGAAACCTGTAAATATAATCAAATCAAACTTATTTTCTGTTATTATGACAAATCCAAAAATAACATTTCATCCCTAGACCCATAAGCTTGTGTTCCCAGCTTATGAGCATGTAAAACAAGAATTTTAATGAGGAGGACCCATTTTTGGTTGTAACTTCATGTATGGAGACGGCTTGATGTCTCAACAGAACAGCTAGTCGCCAGCTTCTTCTAGTTTCCTATTCTTCGACCCTGAATATAGGGACAGACTTTATATGAATTACACGATGTTACAGCTCAGAAGAGCTCTGTGAGAACCTCAAATTCAAGAATTTTAATAATCTTCCTCCATAGACTGTTTTACTTGTTTTTTAATCACTGTAGGTGCTTACACTCTGTCATTTTTGAAAATGGAGAGTGGTAAATAATCCAGTTTCTTACATTAAAAGCGGCAAAACGTGTTTTTGAATGAATTTAGTGTCTAGGGGGCGTGGTCTTGTGCTGATATCATGTTACTTACAGGTACGTACTGGGCATGCTAAAGTTGTAATGTTTACATCAGTTTTAACTTGATTTTTGCAGAGCTCGAAGGAGATATTCTTGTTGCCCAGGCTGCAATATTCTTCACTGCAGGGTTTGAAAGTAATGCTTCAACCACATCCTTCACCCTGTATGAGCTGGCAATGCAGCCTCATTTACAAACCAGACTGCGAGAAGAGATTCTGCATACGCTTGACAAGAATGAGGGGCAGTTTACATATGAAGCTATCAGAGACATGGAGTACCTCCACATGGTGATATCAGGTAAAGCTGTCTAGACCACCAAACAGTTATGTGCTCAGTATCATGTTGCAGATTACAGTGTGTCTGTCAGATCATATTGATCTTCCTTCAGTGTTGCGCTGTGTGAGGTGAATGTACTGCCCACTTGCCAGTTGCTTTCTGCAGGTCCTCTGCTTGGCTTACTCTTTGACCCTTAAGATGGGGTGGTACTCTCCTCCGAAACATCATTGGACCCCTACCAGTCTACAAGGTGTTGAATCCCAGAAGACAGGACTCATCATACATGGATTGTCTTACACTCCATCTCTCTCAATGTTCCCATATTCTCCTGGCTTTTTGTGCATCATCTTTCCTGATCTGTAGATCCAATCTGGACTCCAGTCGTTTTCCTTATACTTTTATGTTCAAAACCTTCTCTTGGATTCTAACTCCATTCTTAAAATGTGGTCAAACTATCCTGTTTTGTTATTTATAGTGAGACTTCAGGTTCTCATAAAGAGAAGGTAAAAGGTAAAGTTATCCCTATAACAGGCCGTGGAGTCCCGTAGGGTTGTGAGGCATTGAAGCTCCCACATTTTATAGATAATCTGGTCACAGATGGCAGTGAGGTTGTCGGCCTTACATGGCAGCTACTTTTTACCCCCCAGGAAGATTCCTGGTCCTCATTTCTGTTAGAGGCTGAGTCGACCCCAGCACCATAGTGCAGCTAGTAGGATTAGGTCGATTGAAAAGTCCAGTGATCTCATTGGAACTCAAATCCGCTTCCTTGTGGCTTGTAGCATAGTCACTCAACCAAATATGCTACTGTTGAGGTTCTCATAGTGGTGACAGTGAAGAGCTCTGGCTCATGGGTTTCAATACTTTGTACCATAATAGAAATTTACTGACGTTCCTTTGAAATGCCATTGCATACTAGAAGACAGTATTCTTTTGTATCCTTTCCTTTTTCGAAAAAATAAAAGGAGGCTTGTGATATCACATTACTGTCTGTGTATCTCCCCCAATTTTTTTGTTTCCTACACAGCCCATGTCATATCAAAAGGAAGCAGGCAATTACTTCTTCCCAAAACTTGTTGTTCAGTATTATTTATGTGAACTCTAGGCTTAAACTGTTTTGTGGAAACCATTTTGAAAATTTTGCGTAAAAACTGAATGTTGTACATTATATGCAATACTTGGATTCACAACCAAGTCTAGGGAATAGAAATATCACTAATTTGAATTCATTTTCAACAGAGACACTGCGGAAGTTCCCTCCACTGCCAATATTAGACAGAGTTGCAGAGAGAGATTATGTCATTCCCGGCACCGACATAACCATTGAAAAGGGCACCACAGTGTATGTCCCACTCCTGGGCATACACATGGATCCGGAAGTGTTCCCAGATCCCGAGCATTATGACCCTGAGAGGTTCAATGAGAAGAATAGGAAAGCACGCCACCCTTTCATGTATTTGCCTTTTGGAGAGGGTCCTAAATACTGTATAGGTAAGTGAAATGATCTTTGGTACTGATGTTCGTTATATATCAAATTTCAATCCTTAAGCACTCACTCACGGAGCTGAGCCCTTCTTGAGAAGCCGCCAATTGTGCAGCTACTCAAGAACTTCCCAGCATTTTATGGAACCCGAAGGTTCATTACTGTGTTCACAAGGGCCCTCGACTTTCCCCTGTCCAGAGCCAGATCAATCCAATCCATACCATCCCATTTAGTGGGGCGTGGAGTCCAACTGGGTCTACTTGGCACGGTGGCCACTGATTTGCCTATTGTAGCCTGTCCCAGGTGATTATGATGATGGAGATTTTGGTGGAATGAAGATTGGCAGGAGAAACCGAAGTACTCGGAGAGAACCCGCCCCAGCGCCACTTTGTTCACCACAAATCCCACTTGACCAGACCCGGGATCGAACCCGGGCCGCCACAGTGGGAAGCCAGCAACTAACCACGTGAGCTATGGCGCGGCCTTTTAATACCATCCCATCCAATCTAAGATCCATTTTAATATTATCCACCCACCTACATCTTGGTTTTCCGAGTTCTTAATCCCTAATCACTTCTCTTAATCAAAAAGCACAATAAATCATTCACTTGCAAAATTACTGTTAGTGCCCCTGGTTCCTGCATTTTGTCCATCATCTGATATTCCTAAGAGGACAACACACTATTTTGGAAAATGGATCTTCCTGTTGTCAGGGAAAATATGTTGAAGCACATACTGTCTAGTGACTAAGCTAGCTCTTCCTAATAGAACCAGTGGGATAGGTGCCTTCTCAATTTTATACCTGAGGCAGAGAAAGGTCCAGTTTCTGAAATACTTTACTCTAATCACAATATTAGTCAGTGTACAAAAAGCAGAAAACCAGTAACACAAAATGCAGTATACTATTATCAGAAAGCTTTAAAATTTTCTGAAGAGAATTATCATCATTTACTGTTGAATACAATGCAAAATACCTTCTAATGGAGCTAAGGACATGATTTTCATGTACATAATTGGGATCTAAATCCCATGGATTTCTGTGTTGCATAAAACAAGGGAGAGTCAGTAAACAGATCACAGATCTAAGTAAAACATCTGTAATGGATGTAATGGGTTTTCTATGGGTGTCACTAAGTAGCAACACAGTCCATCTTCATGACATTCTACGTAGCAGATGTGTCTACACATGTTCAGAGGCTGGTTTCAGTAGTCAAAATGGCGACCGTGATTGAGGGTGTACTACCGAAGAGTAGCATTCTGTTGTGCGTTTTTTTGTGGGTAAAAAGACACCATGCAAAGGATACTTGAAATACTTACAGTGGAAAGTGTTTGTTGCGTAAAGCTGTTCACAACTGGAATGAGAAACATGGCGAAGATTTCACTGATGATGGAGAGGTTGAAATAGAGGTGTGGAAGTGGCTGAGACAACAGTCAGAAGACTTCTGTGCTGTAGGTTTTGACACACTGGTAAAGAGATGGGACAAGTTTATCAGTGTTGGTGGTCGATATGTTGAGAAATAAATGTTTCTTCCAGGTTTGGATATCACATGTCTTATGTTTTATATCCGTTTGTGACCTAATTACTGACTCTCCCTCTTATTTATGTGTTTTGCTGCATACTCTCAATATTGAAAGAGCTTCGGTGTTGTAAATAAAATAATATATATGCAGCACTGTTGAAACAGTACATGTTTCATAGCTAATGAAAAGCATTACATAATAGCAATGTTGACAGCAACAAGAATGAAGAGAACTCACTCAGTTTCCATATATATGTACTTAAGAACTGGGATCTGTACTTTAAAAAACCAAGTGAAGAAACGCTATGTTATAGGAATCTTAATTTCAGACTTATTTTATCAGTCCAGTCACTTGTGCCTTTCAGCATTCCAAACATCAGAGGTTGTTTATATCTGAAATAACATGCCAGACACTTGGAACACTAAATACTCATTTATATTGTGGTGTGCCATCTAAATGCCAGACTATATGGCGTCCATTGCTGCGCAACAGCTGCAATGCAGCTGCCTAGACAACAGAGACATGTTGCCCCAGAAATTAAACCCTAACAGTGGGGTTCCTGCTGGTACAAAGGTGCTAGCAATTGTTGTAGCAGAAACTATGAGACTCTAGGGTGCAACAGAGTGTATTCTATCCTGTCTGAGTTTAGGATATAAGAGACCAGACAGAACACAGAACATAGCAGTTCCAATCTGATGGCAGATAAGAGAAGACTCAAGGCACAGAACAGAGGTCAGAGAAGAACCAAGAAAAAAGTCAACTCCACCGACAATAGCGGTGCAAGAGTAAACGCAGAGAAATGACAGACTAATCAGGTCGCTTCATCTGGAAGGTGCTATTTGAGAGCGATTGTAATTATGAGTGTGAACGAGTAATTGTCCAATGAACATTGTTTAACCTGGAACCCATAATCTCTTGTTGTGCTACCTGGGTATGTGACAATATATTACTGTTCTTTGTTTGCATAACTTCATTCCGCCTTGAAGTCATAAAATCATCTAGACAATATTTAATCAGCAACAGCATAGTTGGTTGAAGTACTGTGCTACAAGCCGGAAGGTCACTGGTTCGATTCATTGGATTTTTCAGTTGACCTAATCCTTCCAGCTGCGCTATGGCCCTGGGGTCGACTCAGCCTCCAACAGAAATGAGTACCAGGAATCTTCCTGGGGTGTAAAGGGTGTGTAAGGCTGACAACCTCACCGCCATCTATGAGGCGATTCTCTAGAAAATGTGGGAGCCTCAACGTCTCACAACCCTATGGGCCACCATGGCCTGTTACAGGGATAGCTTACTTAAGCTCAACATCATGTGTGAGCCAGTTGTCTTTAAAATGTAGGGACCTCAATGTCTCAAACCCTGTAGGTCTCTGAGGCCTGTTAGAGGGATAGCTTTGCTTTTCTTTATGTGTAACCTCTACGTATTCTTATGCAAAAGATTCAGTTGTACTGTATGTACTCATATGTACTTGTATTTTTGTGTTTTTATGGTTTATTCCACATTCTATTGTCATTCTGAACCAACTTTGGATTCATGGAATGTAACGTAATTATGTATGCATGTATGTACACTGTTTCTCCATCACAAAGGCCAGTCTGTTAGTGTTTCTTTGGGAAATAACAGCTGTTTATTATGAGAATTGTACAGGAAAAAAAATCAGACTTTTATGTATGGTTACCACTGTGCTTTAAAGGGTTAAAGTTTCAAAGAGATTTTAGTTTATTGTTATGTCAGTAAGACTCCTATTAACATTTAAGAAGTAATATGTATCTGTCCCTTTCCTGTTGCTCCCACTTGGAGCATAGGGCATCCGTGAAATGCTTTGTTTCACTTCAGTTTCTTAATCCTAAAGAAGCAGTATTGTTTGTAGCTAGTTGTGTTTGAGGTTATAAAACCAATTGAATCTGTCAGATGTATATTATTTCTGGTGTCTCATATTTTTGTGGACACATGTGCATTTAACTTTAAATATTATAAAATGTTGAATTCTCCGTTGTGATCTCGGCTGTGATGCCATGATGTAGCCTGGTAGGTGGTTACCAGCGTTTTCAAGGAGCATACTGCCTTAACTGAAGATGTAACATACTGACTTGACTAAAGATGGAACATACTGGCTCTAATGAAGATGGGACATGCTGACTCCCCTGAAGCTGGAACATACTGGCTCTAATGAAGATGGGACATGCTGACTCCCCTGAAGCTGGAACATACTGACTTGACTGAAGATGTAACATACTGACTTGACTGAGGATGTAACATGCTGACTCCCCTGAAGATGGAACATACTGACTCCCTGAAGATGGAACATGCTGACTTGACTGAAGATGTAACATACTGACTTGACTGAAGATGGAACATACTGTCTTGACTGAAGATGTAACATACTGACTCCCCTGAAGATGGAATATACTGTCTTGACTGAAGATGTAACATACTGGCTCTAATGAAGATAGGGCATACTGACTCCACTGAAGACAGAATGTATTGCCTCAACTGAAGGTGGACACTGACTTCATATGTGTTGGGACATACTGACTTCACTAAAGATGAGTTCTACTAACCTCTTCTGGAGATGGAAGCAGAATGTTCCTCCAAAATATTGTTGTCCACCTACTGGACTGTGTGATGTCATAACTCAGAATCTTCATCACCATGTAAACCTTGCATCTAATATACACTGCATTTATTTCAGGTAAGGGGTTTGGTCTCATTGCTTCAAAGGTGGCCGTGGCCAATGTGCTGGCGAACTTCATAGTGTCACCGTGTGCTGATACTCCAAGCAGCATTCAGTTAAATCCGAAGGCTATGATATTGGCTGCCAGAGGAGGAATTCGTCTGAAATTCACCAAACTAAATCGCTAGCCATTTCTGTTTGCCGTTCAGATCCTTGAAATGCAGGCCTTTGGAGCAATGGTTACATAATTTCTTTGTTTCACTTATAACTGTCCTGCACATTGTTATTACTAGTACTGAGACCTGTTTATAATGTAGTACACATAATAACAGACATGTGTCAGAAGTGGATTTAGTGATTAATAGGGCAAAGTTGCACTAGAAAAACCACTTTAACACTTTGCGGACAAGCGATTTAAATATTTAAATCACCCTGGAGACCAGCATTTTTAAACCTACTACCCTAACTTGTGCACTGTTCACTTTAAAAATTAATATAAAATCTCCTACTTAATTTTATGAACTAAAATTTTTGGAGAACACCAGTGCTCCTAGAAGTGCTTGAGACTGTGATATTTCTGGAAACATTCCCGTTTGTGAAGTGGCATTACACAGAACTTGCACATGTAGACAGTCATACTCCTTTTGTTGTGTACTGCACAAACACGGCAACGCCTAGAAGGCTGCTTCCCTTGGCATGTTCACTCTTCACAATTTTCATGAGGGTATGTTTCCACATATCACCCGAGAATCAGCCAGGGGGGTCCACATGAGGCCTGCGTGGGGTGGGAGTTGATGTGCCCGGTTACACTAAGTCTGTGTCTGCCGCCACCGTCTGATCTGTAGCCCAGGCTTTTGCCACATTCAGCAGAAATTCCTTGTATTTCAATTTTGAACAAGGGTTTAGATTTTTGAAAACAAAAAATGAATTGAAAATGGTACAATTTATAAGCCACAAGGCAGCTTTCTTTGTCCACTACTGTTTTCTGAGGAAGAGAATAATAGGCCAAGTACTGATTGGCTCTATGAACTCCCTTCATGAACATATTATACTCGGAAATACAAACAGGCTTATTTACCTGTCCATGTCTCCTTTGAACATAAACCATGCTCGAATTGTGAATTGTGGATTTGGGTCCCATGGAATTTGCTTCGCCCCTGAATTTCCAGTAAACTGTCCCAAAGCAGGTGTTTTGTCTACTTTTCCCCATGTGGCTGTCCCCGCAATGTTGCTACCTGCACTTTCGTTGGAGCTACTGTCACTTTCACTTTTACTTTTACTTTCACTGTCTGTGGCCACAAATTTTTGTTCACCCCTGCCACAGTCGCTATCAGATTGTGAGTCGCTATCACTAGCAGACTCACAAGGGATGTCAGATAGCTCATCGGAGAATGCGTCAGATATTTCTTGTTCTCTGAGAAAACGCTTGGACTGCAACCTCTTCCGACCTTGATCTATTTTGCACTAGTAACTTCCTGCCTGGTGCACGCAGCTAGAAGATGAACAAAGGCATTTTCCTTTGGAGTGGGAAAGGAAAACAGTTGGGTCATAAACAGCGGGGTCATATTACTGACTATGAAGCAAATATTCAAGAGGTCTGTCACGCACCAGTCATGCGTCTGCCTGGCGCCAGTGCAAGGTATAGTGTGTTTCAACATAACGTGTCATAAAATCATAATAATATGCCATCAGTCTGCCACATTTAAAAGTGCTGGGCATAAAAATATGCCACAGGTCCACAAAGTGTTAAATTGTTGGAACCTTACTAATCTTCTGTTTCTTCATTAGATGTCTCCACTATATGTATATACTATAGCAATTTTTTGCAGAAAAACTTGCACTGCAGTTTCAGAAACTGTTATTGTTCTTAGTGGTAGTCCTTTTTTTTTTCTAGTGGGGTGGGACTAAGTCACTTGTACTGTGCCCACTTTTGGCATATTGTACCAGCCCCAGGTGATAGGTGAGGGTGATTGTGGAGCAGTTGGTGGAATGAAGATTAGCAGGGGAAACCAAAGTACTCGGAGGAAACCTGCCCCAGCGCCACTTTGTCCACCACAAATCCCACTTGACCAGACCCGGGATCGAACCCGGGCCATCACGGTGGGAAGCCAGCGACTAACCACTTGAGCTATGGCGCGGCCCTTAGTGGAAGTTACTTACATTACCTCTCAGATTTGATGGGAGGGATAAACTTTATCTTACTTTCACTATTATTTCTATTCCATCTTTCTCCTTTCCTGTCATCATTCCCTTCCCCCTTCCTACCTCTCTCTCCTGCAAGTTAAAAATGTTCCCTCACCTCTGTTCTTCCATCCTTTTGGTTCCTTTGATCTTCTTTTTCATTTCCTGTCCCATTTACATATTCATTCTTTCATCATTCCTGCCCCTTATTTAGCAATGGCAGGAGACACGATGGATCTTCCAAAGTATCATAGTATAACACTATAGTTAATAAGGTAGTTAAGGTTTTCTTTTTATATCCTAGCAACAGCAGAAGATAGTTTGAGTTTCCCCCCCATATCACGTCAACAACAGAACATAGTTTGAGTTTTCCACCGTATCATGGCAACAGAAGAACATAGTTTGAGTTTCCCCCCATATCATAGTAACAGCAGAACATAGTTTGAGTTTTCCCCCATATCATGGCAACAGAAGAACATAGTTTGAGTTTTCCCCCCAAGGCAACAGCAGAACTTAGTCTGAGTTTTCCCCCATACCATGACAACAGCAGAACATAGTTTGAGTTTTCCCCCATATCATGACAACAGCTGAATATAGTTTGAGTTTTCCCCCATATCACGTCAACAACAGAACAAAGTTTGAGTTTTCCACCGTATCATGGCAACAGAAAAACATAGTTTGAGTTTTCCCCCATATCAAGGCAACAGCAGAACTTAGTCTGAGTTTTCCCCCATACCATGACAACAGCAGAACATAGTTTGAGTTTTCCCCCATACCATGGCAACAGCAGAACATAGTTTGAGTTTTCCCCCATATCATGACAACAACAGAACATAGTTTGAGTTTTCCCCCATACCATGGCAACAGCAGAACTGGCAGAAAGGGGAGAATTATCGGGTACCACTGCCAGAACATAGTTTGAGTTTCCCCCCATATCATGGCAACAGCAGAACATAGTTTGAGTTTTCCCCCATATAACAGCAACAGCAGAAGGTAGTCTGGATCTTGCCACCTACCTTAGCAACAGCAGAAAATAGTTGTGGGTTTTCACTGTATCCTAGCGATGATCCCATTGTTACAGTCCCAGTGCCTTTGTTATGGTGGAAGTAATGCAGAAATAAATTGTCTTGGACTCAAACTCATACATATAACAGCAGAATTAACAATTTCCTGGGGTTGTGTCTCCAAGAGGAAAATGTTTCTTCTCTGCCAGTTTTTTGACCATGAGCCATTTGCAGAAATACGGTCAGATGGATGGAGAGAGTTCAGCAATTATTGTATATAGATACTAACAACCAGTCCTGTCCATAGTTCTCTGTCTTCTCAAAGCTTCCTCTCCTGACTTGCCTCCCATGTTTTGATTTCTGTCTCCTCGGGTGTTCTCCTTTTACTTTTTTATAGTTGTCATTGCGATTCTGTCCTCATTCTTCCTTGAAAACATGTCCATACCAACTCATTCCATTATTTATTAATATTTCTTCTAAGGTGCCCAACTTAGCGGCCTCCATAGTCTAGGGGTAACGTTCCCACCTCATGACTCAAGCAAGGTACGTGGGTTCAAACCCGGTGAAGGTCGTGGAATTTTTAAGGGCGGAAAAATTCAGGGAACAAGTCCTCCGGGAGGGACTTTAAGCCGTGGGTCCCGTGTTGTAGATTTACGGCACGTAAAAGATCCTCATGTCTCTAGGAGACCTCTGAGCAAAATTAGGCAAAATGTTTCCCGCCCAAGTAGTTTCCACTGCCTCCGGTATATGGGGAAGTTATCGGGTACCAATGCCAGTAGAGGACCAACCTCGCTGGCAGAAAGGGGAGAATTATCGGGTACCACTGCCAGTAGAGGGCCGAACTCACTGGCAGAAAGGGGAGATAGCGGGCACCAGTATCGGTATGGTATGGCGACAGTAGAAATTAAAGGATGACGTACAGTAGACTATTAGTCGCGGTGCATGGGGAAACCCACCCCCTCTATACTGAATACTGAATAATGAAGGTGCCTAACTTCAAGCTCTCTTTAATGTTTTTCTTTTCGATTTCCTTCAGTTGTTTCAAAAGAAAAAAATCCCCTAGTCTTACTTTGTTATGTAATACAAAAACATATTTTACGTATATTACTTAAAACAGAATTATGTATTTATAGGTAAATGTCATTCAATCTTCACAAGTTAAGAAGGCACTGTTATGTACTAACATTTAGATTTATAATTCTAACAGTAATTTGTATGACTGTTTCTTTATTCTTGCAAAATAACTACATGCTAATATTCATCAATTTACACAGAAGGCAAAGAGGATCATGTACAGAACTATTAGGCTTATTTTGGACTCTATCCATTGTCTGGTATATATAAGACCAAAAGCACAACGTTTTGGAGACTGGATCTGTCTCCATCCTCAGGTGGATGGGTCAGGATAGACCTACTCATTTGAGCCTGTTAGAAAGAGCTAGTCTCAATCACTGGACAAACCCTGGTCAGTAGAGAACAGCTGATTAACACCTGACAACAGGTTCCATAAATAAGCCTAATAGTTCTGTACAGCATGCACCATCGTCAGAATCCTTTCAAGTCAAAAGAGGATCATGTTCACGATGGGCTCTGCTTTGAATAAAATACTGAGGTAAACAGCATGTTTGTGTATCATCAGTTGAAATGAATTCAAGACCATAAGTCAAACCAGATACATTTTATATGAATCATTCCAGGCAGAACTCATTCTGCACATTTCCTGTCCAACAAATCTTGTGTTGTTGATCTCCCAAATGTATAGTGTAAATATGTAATCCAAAGAATAAAATGCAATTTAACCTATGGAATAGCATACAGGACTTGTATGGAGATAGCCCCCAGCTGAATCCTAGCCATGTCAGATTAGTAGTAATAGGTGGTGGTGGTGGTAGTAGTAGTAGTAGTAGTAGTTTTGTAACGGTATTTGTAGGTATGAGTCTGACGTGTCTGTGTGCCAGATTTCACATGCTGACCTCCAGTTGTTTTTTACTTAATACCATGAAACTGAAAGCTACATATAAATTCCATTAAGCGATGATTGTATTTTCTATATCTTAAAAAAGAATTATGTCAATGAAGTGGCATTTACTTCGAAGACCTATATTAGATGGTGATCGTGTCTCTCACACTGTACAGGTTAATTCACTGTCATGCTTTTGTTATCAGCACTAGGAAATTAAATAATTACACAGTCAGCATGGCATTCATATTAAGTTTGGTTAACAAGGTTAAAATACTGAAAGGAAACACACAACATTTTGATCCCATATTCTTACTGTTTTATCTAAGAAGTGAAAGTAGGCTATAAACTATCAGAAGGAATCTCTAGTAGATTTGAAAATACATAAAAGCAGGATTTTTGAAACCACTGTGTCAAAATAAGTGGAAGGGGAGAAGATCCTAGGAATGTCAGCTGGAGACCTCTGATAGACAGGCAAAGAGCTCAGTCATGCTGAAGATTAATGTCTTCTGGGATGTGACACCTTGTAAACTGGTAGAAAGGTATTGCCAAAATTTTTGATGAATTTTGTTATGTTTCTGCTGGATTGCATGGCACCACATTCCAGAAAACAATAACCTCCTTGAAGGATGTGAGGTTCTCAAAACAATGGTTCTGTCTAGTTTACAGTGCTCTGTACTTTACCACTAACTTCACTTGTATTTACATATTGTCATTCAAAAGGGGGGGGGGCACTGTGATACTAGCCAGAAGGTCACAGGTTTGAATCCTGACCTAATCCAGCTGCACTATGGCCCTGGGGTCGAATCAGCCTCTTAACAGAAATGAGTTCCAGGAATCTTCCTAGAGACTAAAGAGCAGCCAACACATAAGACTGACAACCTCTCTCAACCCTATGGGCCTCAAGAGCCTGTTACAGGGACAGCGTTACCTTTCTCTTTTTGTTGTCATACAAAGATATTGGTATTTTGATGTCATTCTGAGATATACATTTACTGTAATTAAGAATATATGTTTACCTATGTAATATTGTTGGCATGGTAATTTTCTTTGTAGCTAGTGTTGTAATGGTGATTTGACTGTGTTGGAAAATTAAATTTAAACGAACGGCATATCAAAATAGGAAGGTTTTGTTGTAGTATTTCATATCTAAAAGGTAACCTAATCAAATTATTGTGTCATGGACTTCTAACAATAATACAACAACAATACCTGTTGTATACCATGTGTATAAAAGTTTACTTTTGAGTGAGGAGAGCTTTATAAGAAGATTATTGCTGGAGAGTATGCTCTTCTGGGTTGTAACTGTGTAGTTCTGACAGCCTGAAGTTTCAGAAGAACATTGGCCACAATCAAGGTCAAATATAAAGCCAAGAACAAAAATAGCAGGGGCAGGCAGTAACCTGAGCGTATCACCCTGAAGATGGGGGTGATGTGTCCTTCAAAACATTGGGCTGTCCTTGAACTACAAAACATTACCACCCAGAACCTGAGATATTACTATTTTCTCCTAGGATGTGATGCCGTTCAGTCTTGCAGATGGTTTACCAACATTTTGGATGCACCAGATGCCTCTGTCTTCTTCTTTACTGCTGTTACAACCTCAGATCTCATACATTTTTTACAACACAGTATTATTTTCAATGTAATTAGTATCTTTAAAACTAATATGTAAAATTTTCTTGCATTACAATCCATACCATTATGAAGGATAGAGCTGGGATAGTGTATTTAGTATAGTTGGCTATGGGCTGGACGACCAAGGGGTTGGAGTGTGAGTCCTGGTAGAGTCAAGAATTTTCAATTCTTCATATAATACAGACTGGCTTTGGGGTCCACCCAGCCTCCTATCCCATGGGTACCGAGGACTCTCCCCCTGGGAGTACAGCAGCCAGGGCATGCACCTGAAAACCCACCTCCAGCTGGTGCCGAGGTCGAGAAAACGTAACTCTATACATCCACTCCCACATATGCTTTAGTTAGTTAAGCACAGGGACAACTTTACCTTTATTGATAACTTTGGATATATTGAATGGCTGGTGTAGTGGTAACAGTCTACCCTCATATTTAGTTTGAATCTTGGCTGGGACACTTGCTATCCTGACTGAGATCTTTTGTGGTTTTACAAAAATTCTACAAGAAATTATTTTTCCATTTTCTCTTCATTTCCAGAACGAAATAATTTTGTCTGGTGTTCAAAAGGGTTACAAGATGCGAAACCTAAGTTGTTCCTTCGTGCCATTTACTGACCAAACTGACTGAACCAATAACACTTCTGACTTGTACTTTGAAGGTAGTCTGTTCGATTCTTGGTCAGGACACCACCTGTCCTCGTTGAGGTTTCTCATGATTTTCTATAGTTCGGGTAGTACATTAAATCAGGTCATGACCACTGCCTTTCACATCCTACCCAATTCATTATTCACTGTTATTCAGGCATTTGATAGTATCAATGTAGGATGTGGGATGTAAAAGGAAGAGGAGGTTGAGCGTGTTCTAGGATCGGCGGGGTGTCATCATGACCGACTATGCGCAAAAGGGCGTCACCATCACTGGAGAGTACTACCAGAACCTTCTGAGATAATTACTGGAGGAAATCAAGAAAACATGACGTGGAATGCTGGGAAAAGGTGTGCTATTTCTTCACGAAAATGCACCGGCTCATGCTGCACAGGCTATGAGGACACTTGCTGCAAGTTTGGGATATGAAATTCTCCCCCATCCACCATAGTCACCAGACCTGAAACAGAGCAACTTCTTCCTCTTTACACGGCTAAAGCAGCCACTTCATGGTGATTCCAAGATGACATCATTTCTGCAGTGAAGGACCTACTAAACAGTCAACTTGAGACCTTCTATGATCAAGGTATCCAGCAGCTAATGCATCGTTGGGGAAAATGTGTGGCCTTGCAGGGGGCATATGTAGAGAAGGGCTAACTCACATACAATTTCTTGCGCCTGTGTCTCTGTTTCTTCTGGGTGATAATTTAAATTACACTCATCTGTTTTGTTTTACTGTATTTTGTTTGACTTTTTATGTGTTTCTTGCTGAAAACAAATGCTTTATGCAGTCAGCATACACTCAGACAACACCTGTGTCCCCATAAGGAAAAAACTGTAAACAAAACATATTGTGTTGAAATATTTTAATAAGCCAAACTGATCTATTGACAATTTGAGTCTATCATTTATTGAAAGTATAAAGTAGTTGTGAACAGACATATTTATGTATTACGCTCCTATATGTTGGTTACAATCTATCCACTTGAATCTATTCATTTTCCACTTGTTTTCACACTATAAAAGTGCAGGTATTATGGCAATGCTTCCGTTCTTCAAAAATATGGCTGAACGGTCTGTAAGCGAAAACTAGCGTTGTTAGTTCACCTATAAAAACTAGCCTAAAATTATGCTGTACACTACAGTAAGTGTTATTACTTCTTATCATCATTTGCAAGTTTAATGACAGTGAATGGATAATTATTCAAATACACCATGTGAAATTTACACTATGAAAATTTAATATTGCTGTTTTACACAACTAACATCAATATTCATTCCATAAATTAATTTCTAGAATATAACAAAACTAGTACTTGTCAACACTGCATTATGAGCAAAAAATTTTAAATAAAATTTTGTTCTCTGTTCTTATTTCCAACATATATCAGGCAAGAAGCCCACTGCCTTTCATGGCTGTTAACCTGTCTTGCTTCTATCTATAATTTCATCACCCTATGGTGGGACTGGTTAGCCACCGTTTTGGAGAACACTTCTTCATTCCACACTGCCATGTGATCCAAAATTATAAATGCAGGGAAACCATTTAATGATTACTCGATTCAGAAGGCTGGGTAGGCTCCAAAGCCAGTCTGGTCAACGCGGAGAAAATTCTCCACCCTACTGGGACTTGAACTCTGACCCCCAATCACAGCTCCTATATCCTTCTTTGTAGTTATATGAAATGAAGAACAATAGTTAAACTTCTCATTGGTAACACTTTATAATTCACTGGAGATGCTACAATGATGGCTTATTAACTGAATTACAGAATTAATATCTCACTGCAAAGAACACTGTAGTTAAATTTATATGCTTTGTTCTTATTATTTCTTACAGGATCAAACCTTCTTTAAACTTGCAAATATGTCACATTAATGTTATATCATATTCACATATCTACATCATATAATTTACAGATATCTCCATAGTCCACTCTGTCAACTATTCTGCCCTTCAAAGGGCCTGAGGATATTTCAATGGTTACACAGAATTTCTTCTGATCCAGTTCCCTAAGCATGGCACTGCAACCATGATAAGCACCATTTACAATACGCACAGGTCGCCCTATTGCTGGTATCACCGTTTCAAGATGTTCTTGGTCTAGTTTTAGTTTGTGTCCACCATCTAACATGCATACTGTAGCTACATGCTTATCTGGCACTCCAGTTACAACCCCTTTCTTCCTGTGGTATTTGTCACCCAGACACTTTGCCATCACCTTCACAACAATTCCTTCCACCAACCAGTAATCCTTTCTGTTTATACGTTCTCTCTTGTTCTCTTCATCTTTAATGATCTCTCCAAGGGCTGATAACTTCCTCTTTTCACCTCTCCCTCTTCCAGATTCTTTTGAGTCTTTTCGGTTTCCTGCTGAAGAACCATTCTTCAATGCGTTACCTGCCACCAAAGTTTTATTTCTCATGTCCTCATCCCCTTTTGTCCTTTTTGTTTCTAGCTTCAAATTTACAACAATTTTATGTTGCTCGCTTGGTCGCACAAACTCCGTGAAGACGTGTGTGTCATTCCTGGAACTTTCTTTCCCCTTCTCAATTTGCTTTTCAATAAAGGACATCATCCTCTCTCGCTCGTCTCTGTGGATCTTCTCCTTGCGGGAAACAGCTTCTTGCATGGCAATTGTTTCTGGGTCACGGTCTATATACTGGACATACAATCCTTCTTCAGGCTCATCCACCTTGCACTTTCCTTCTCTTCCAAGCCATTTCACAAAGTCTGTCAATGTATCCCACTGTGTAGAAGTCATATGCAAATGATGACGGTCAGAGATATAGTCCTGGTACACACGATTTGCATGAACACGTTCCGTACCAAACTGATGTTTTAGTACTTCCAGATAACCTCTTTCAAATTCTTTCGAAAAATTACTAATGTATCTGTCTGCATTAGCAGCAAATTGAAGAAGTTGTCGCTGATGTGACTCTGACGTCATATGGCACCTGAAACCATTCTCGTCACGGCATTGCTTCTCGCACATCTGACAATACCAACGAAGTTTCTGGAGCCCTTTCGCCTTTATTTTGTTCGCAATATATTTAGGGGTACACACTTCATGCCTCCCCATTATGTTTAAGATGTTTCACAGTTGAGTTCTTACTAGAATGTGGTTGACCAAAGAAATGTCTCCAGCTGCAGAAAGCAAAACACCACTGCTGAATACACAATATCCAAATTTTCTAGTGCCAATGCAGCTGACGTTTCATAAAGTACTCACTTGTGTACGATATATGAAGCTACAAAACCTCTTTTCCACGTTTATAGCATACAGACACACAAAAATAAATCAACTACCGTTTGGCCACAATTTAATCGTGACATGGTGACGCTGTTGACCACTGTGACCAACGTTGCAAAACACAACTTTCCAATGCAGGAATACTAGAGCCTCTAGCGGCAGAATTAGTAACTCAATGTCACGGATTACCTCCGAAAGCTACTTACTGAATTTGGTTGGTAGATGGCACGTCGTATCGTTGAGGTCCATATTCAAATTTTAGGCTGGATGGGCTGCAAATATTCCTTCACACCAGTCTCACGAAACACATTCCTGCTCCCTATCTATTCAAGTTCCTTAAAGCTCTTCAAACTGCCCTGATTGACACCCAATGTTACTTTTTTTTTGTGGAACGAATATTGTAAATACAAAAAAGGGGTACGCAATACCCTTCCGGCCTTCTATGGCACTTTCTTATAAATATATTATAATATAATAGCGGCATCCGCGTGATTCTTAATTTTAGATCTAATCTTAAATCTGAGAGAATACTGTTAATAATCAGTACAATTACCTCTTTTACTTTTCTTACGTATCTATTTTATATAAACATAGGAATGATGATTATGAAGTAACAGACGCCTTGCAGAAATCTTTTCTCTTCTAGCCTTATGACCTCTATAACTGACTTTGGGTATTCGTATTTCCTGTAATTACTTACTTATGGAGCAGAGACTGTGTTGAGGAACCACCAAATCTCCAGCTACTCAAGAATTTACCAGCATTTTACGGAGTTCGAAGGCTCATTACCGTGTTCACAAGAGACCTCCACTGGTCCCTGTCTTCAGCCAGATGAATCCAATCAATACCATCCCTTCCTATCTCTCTAAGATCCATTTTAATATTGTCCACCCACCTACACCTTGATCTTCCCACTGGTCCCTTTCCTTTTGGCTTTCCCACAATATCCTATGCATTCCTCTCCTCCCACATTCGTGTTACATATCCTGCCCACCTCATCCTCCTTGACCTAATCATTCTAATTGTACTTGGAGAAGAGTACAAGGTATGAACCTCCTCATTATGCAGTTTTCTCCAACCTCCTGTCACTTCATCCCTCTTCGGTCCAAATATTCTTCTCAACACCCTGTTCTCAAACACCCTCAGTCTATGTTTCTCCCTTAATGACAGAGACCAAGTTTCACACCCATACAGAACCATAGGCAAAATTATAGTTTTGTATATTCTAATTTTTATGTTTTTGGACAGCAGACGAGAATTCCAAAGGTTCTATTAGTCTGAGGCAGATTAAGTTACCACTGAGTAAGGGAGGGCTGCTAAGAAAAGGGTTCAGAAACACTCAGGGAACGTGACCTGCATAACTGGGGCAGTGATACATGTGTCTGGCATCTGAACACACTCACCTTTCAGTACAGGGGATCCCTGAACAGGCTAGACAGCTGCAGAGTGGAAGAGAGAGGAAGATGCTATAAATGAGTTTTGTTTTTTCTGTGAAACACAACAATTCACCAAACAACTGGCTCACATTTCTCTGTGCATAACGGAGTTTACTGGTCATACA